CAAAAATTAAGGGATGGAAAATATCTACTAGGATAGCAACCACTACATATAAGTAAAAGATATTAGAAGTAAGAATCATCTTATTTCAGACTTCTTCCTACCACATGTCACAAATGCTCCTCTTCCTTTAGTGCCTGCTGCTTCTGCTATGCTACTGAGCCCTTATTAGCACGGGCCCTTATTGGCAGGTGATTGAGTCACTTTCACCAGAGAGTATGCTCTTGCTTGAATCCACACTGTAAATCTCTCAGAGAATTGACCTCAAAAGTGGCACAATCTAAGTTCATGTGAGAATGCCTCGAGATTGCATGATGGCTTTCTCCTCGCTACATCGATAGTTCAAAGATTGTGGCATTTCATTGTATTCTCCTTCAACTTACGATGCAACCAATCTCATGAATGCGAAATGGCATGTGCGCTAGCAAAAACGAGATCCTGATCCCACCAGGCATGAAATTCTGAGGTATGTGTGGCGGCGGTCCGACATCAATCTGTAGTCACTGGCCAATATTGGAAGCAGAGAGAGCCTTGATTAAATATAATCATTCGTCTTCTCCTTGCTTTCACCAATTTTGCTAGATTTCATTAGAAACATCAGACAGACGAAACTATCACAGTTGTATTGTACACTTTCCAAATAAAGCATCTCAATCAGTAACACTTTGTCATGGATTTTGTTCACAAGAAAATAATACCTCTTCTATTCCACCCTCCTCGCAGTGTCTGCAAAGAACTTTATGTCGGTAACCACTAGGCTTTTGTTCACAAAATTAATGTCATTCTTTCCCCTGGTAGTCTGAAACGGCAGAGTCACATCCACAATTTCTTTTCAACAAAGGCTTCCAGCATTTTCGTATTGATCTTGACTCTATTCAAAAAACAAAGTCCCTTGTACGTATTAGTGGTATTCCTGCGGCATTGATCTTTCCCTGAAAACACGCATCAGCAACAGCTTGCTTTCGGAGGTGAAAACCCTTCAACGACCTCGTGCAAATTTCCATGATCAAAACTTGATAATGCTTTTCCTCCAGACTACGGTTCCCATCGCACGCATCAGCAAGACCGCGGCCGCTGCGGTTCACAAATACACGCATCGCCGGGGTGTACTCATCTGAAGCAGCTACATGCCCCGTTTGCCACAAGCATGGGACCTCAGAACGAGCAAGTCATCGCAGCCTGTCACTTAACTGTGGACGTTGTTGATCCTGTGATGCGGGAGAACAAGCAGCGCCGCTTCTGGTATCGACGTCGAACATTCTGTTCACACTTACAGGCGACTGCGTGAAGTGATCTCTCCATAACCTCCTGTTGTTCCACTTTCTCGTGATCAGATGCTCGATTGAGACTGTGTGCGATAGTGTAGCCACAGACAGCAGCGATTGATCCACTTCTTCGCAACCCAGAAGCTTATCGAGACGAATCTAGTGACCCACTTCCTGAGGGCCTGAACTTGATGTTACTCTAAACGATACTCGTCCTGATTTATTCTGGTCGCTGTTAGTATTGGCAGAGGTGGCACCATCATTGTGAACGATGTTAACGTTTTCTTCTACCAAGTGACCTCCAACTGAGCCTTCGCCCGAAATCTCTCAACCAAATCCACAAGCTGAGTCCCTTATCGTTCACGGCAACACAGACTTACTGCACCGTAATGTAACGAAGGAGAGCCAACTGATTAACCATTCTGCATCAAAGTCTCAAAGAAGCAAAAAAAAATCCTAGGGGCCAAGGGTCACGTAAGTACTCAGTACAGAGTAAAGCCACCGAGGGACTCAGAAGGCGAAAGACAGCTCAAGTTAATGACTTCGGCTACGAAATTCTTTTTAGTTTAATAATTATAAACATAACAAATCTGCAACATTACTTGGAATACGCCTCGTGTGGGAAATAAAAGCACAGGTCATGGTGACACCGTGAAAAGCTGTGAACATAACGACGAAGATTTAACACCTCAAGAAAGCAAAGGTTGTACAATTTAGATACTCATCAACACCTACCCATAAGGAAACAAAAGGGTTGGTTAAATCTCTTTGCGGTGGGTCGGAACACTCTACATGGCGTCACAGCGCCGCCAGCGACAAGAGGGCTGACATAACGGGGAGGGTACTGGAGCTGGAAGTCAGATTCTCGCCATGCACCTCGCACCAGTCAGGCAAAGCATTAACTGGTCAGGCAAAGGACAGCGAGGCTCATCACGCAAATCCCCAGATGCTACCACGCAGCACTGGAAGTTGGAAGTTGGTCCCGAGTCACTTTAAAACCACCACTTTCCACCACCCAAGGATTACAAAAAACAGCACTGACGAGGTTAACCGATTGAATCTCAACCATGCTGGATAGACTTGCCCAGAGTTTATCTCTATTGTGTCAAAAAGAAACAAAACTAAACAAACCAAATGAATGCAATTGAGTGAATAGTGGAGTCACTGTGAAGGAAAAACTTGAGTTCATGTGCATGGGTGCGTGAGAGTTGACTGATAAAACATAACTCTTGTGCTCCCCTTCTGCTGTGACAATGTGGGATCAAACAGCAGCCACAAATGCAAGCATGGCTGAGGGATTCGGATCCGAGCAATTGGAGGGTGATGTTGGAAGCAAGTCCTGCAACTAGTGATTATTGTCTCCAGTCGATCATGCACTGCTCAGACTTCGCCCACACTAATATATATATAAATATATATACGTTGGAGATGTGGGTTAAGAATTAAAAGGAACAAGATATTGTGTTAAGTTTGAAGCTTTTAAAATAGTGTTTATTCTGTAATACTTCTTGGAGTTCTGCATTTACAGAATTTGTGGGTGCTTCTGAAAAATGTAGATGTTTGTGTGCACATCATTTTTTTCTGGTCAAAGTCATTTTTAGAATGATATGGTCAAAAGATATTAAGGATAGTGTATTGATTTTTACCACCATTGACTTTTACGTCTCCTTGAATTTTATGTCCAATTGTCTTTTCATAAAATTCCGACTTGGTTTTGTCCGCTTCCACAAAATTGTATTTTATTCTTTTTATCTTTAACTTCTTTTTAGTTACCATTAAAGAAACACATCATACAAATTAATTATTATATAATTTTCCATCCAACATATATTAAATATATTCCATACTTAAGTTAGTAAATTTTAACATCATGGACTTGTTATTTGTTAGACATTTTCAAATACTTGTGGTTGATTTCAAAAAAACTTACATACCAATAAACATCAATTTTGAAGGCAAAATGGTTTTGGAAGGACAAAAGACCCAGTGAATACAAAATGAAAATGAAAATATTATATTGGTTCGCTTAGCACATTAGAAGAGGTGCCGCATTTTATTCAAAACAAGTGCAAGTAATAACATCTCAACATCCTTGTGAATATTGTTGTTACTGATAGAATCTCACAATAACCCAGTAAAATCAATTTAAAAATGAAATGAAATGAAAGAGAAGAAGAAGACTAAAAGAATTCGAATCACTCACAAAGGAAGAGAGAACAGAGAAGGATGTTGATCAAAGGTTTGTTCAACATCCACGAATCCTATCTTTGCACAATTAGATCAAAAGGTCTTGTCGACCTGCCATACATTGTTTAACGATCATAAAAAATGTACTTTCGAATTTTAACCTTTCCTCCCACTAAGTTAAATATATATATATATATATATACATACATTTTCTCTCTTTTCGTTTCCCCCAAAATGCAGACAGCACAAATCAACACAAGATGACTTAAGCCATCATCAAAGCCATCACATCATTCATATTGAGGTGGAGAAAGATTTGGACAGTCGAGATGATCATGCACGCAAGAGTGGTGCTGATGATTAGCCATGCTTTTGTCTTCTTCCACATTGCCTGCTCTGGTTAGGATTTGTTTTGTTGTTCCCTCTTCTCTCCTAGGTGTGAATGGCCCCACCCCACTTCGCTCATGTTGTCAAATGTGATGAGATACTGTTTCGTTTGCTAATAAAAATGAAGTTTGATTTCGGAAGTAGAGCTGTGAAAGATCTCTTTGGAGTCTCTGCATTTGAAGTGCAACGAATTCATTCAGAATCAAGCTCTGTAAGTGATGATCACCGTGGTTCGAGGACGGGCCGACGAGAGGAACAACCTGCGCGGTTATCCGACCACCTATCCCCTACTTGGAAGCAGACAATTCGGCTTGCTCCTGGGCCTGCAACAGCCGATCTGACAGTAATTTTCGATCCATTGGAAGGAGCCAGAATGGCCATCACTGCTTAGATTAGACCCACTAATTCGTATGATTCAACAGAGCGTCCAGGAATCCAAGTACTGCACTTTGTCACATGGCAGGACTGAATAAATAACATGTGTGTGATTTTTAGGCGAAAATGACCTGACGAGTGAACAAAACCCTCAATGATGTGAATAGTGTACATTACAACAGGCATCACCAACGGGATTCAAAGAATTAGAATTTGCAGCTTTCTGTTCACTGTAAATTTAAACACTGTATGTGGCCATCACGGTGTTGCAATATGCTAGAAGCAGAATTTCTCTCATTGGAATGGTCAAACAAGGCAGCCTTGTTTGCAGAGGATAGTCAGGGAAGGACAATTTTCCTGTAGCATAATGAGACATTTGCATGTCTAATTGGGATAGTTCAGACTTAGGAACTAAGTATTTCTGGCTTTCCTGCTTCCGTGAGGCACATATTTTCCAGGTGGCAAATATTGATGTGAGTCTTCCACATCAAGAGGCTTCTGCTACATGTCCAGACTTGACAAGACCATGCCAGATGCTAACATTCATACAGATCGATGACAGATGCTAGTGTGATAAGTTTTGCAAGACGACTCACATGATCATGTGGCCAGTTACCGGAAGCACCTCGTACATGTCGAGCCAAAAAGATCTGTTTCTTGGCACTGAAGCCTCAAAAGTACATTGGATTATGCATTGTAAGAGAAACCAGAAAGATATCCTGAGTGCCAAACCCCAACTTCACTACAACAAATCCCATGTGAAGATAAAATAAATAAAAGAAAAGACAATGAAGCTATAAATGATCAGAGATGTTATTTTTATAATCTGTTGATAATACAATAGAATACAAAAATAGTGCTTGATGGCACATGGATCAACTCCTTGTCTGAATAAACAACTGGTGGAGCGCCTGCCACACACTGGTGAGTGAAGCTCACTCTCAATGCCGCAGACAAAACCTTCCTCAGAACCCTCCTCTTTCTCGCCCTTCCTTCCTGAGTATGGTGAGGACTCCAACTAAGCCTTTACTTTCGACCAAGCCTAGAACAAAGAAAAATTAATGTAAAATATGTGCATATTTACAACACTCACAACGCCCTGGGCTAGTGTCAGTCTACATCTGAGACCCACTACAAGCAGTTCCTCTCAAATCTCGATCTCTATTCAGACCATCAAAAATACGCTGACCACACAGGCATTGTACCGAAGTGGCCGGATCAGAAGCATCAGGGCTGCAGGAAGTCGACTCCCCTCTCAGTTAACACCCATCATATGCACCAGTACAGTCCCTGTAAGGATACAAAATTTCTTGAACTGAATCACTCCATCCAAGCACCCCTCCAAACCCTTCGACCCCAACCAGCTCTCCGTCAGTTTCATCCACGACTCTCATTAAATTTTGATGTAGAGCTGCTTGAACCAAGCCGAGGTGCCTCCAAAAAGAGTGTATAAAGGAAATTGGAGAATCTTCAAGAAAGATGAATAGCCTGAAGACATCCCGGCGGAATTTTGCTCCAACTTCGTGTGACTGGCCGTGGCTAGATAAGCCCTGGCAGCTTTCTCCACCAAAGGATTCCTCATGTGCACATGACGAATGTCCGCAAGATTCTGGAAGGAGCTAAGCTGATTGTTCCGTTGATTGCTGCTTGCAGCAGGAAGCGAGCACGCAAAGACATCTCTAAGAGAGGTGTAGGAATGTGAGCTTGATGAATGAACCCTGGTCATATCCAGAAGCTCGGTATCTCTTCCACTGCGTCGATGGATTTGGCAGAAAACCTTCCAAAGGTGCGCCAAACTTTCTGTATTAAACTTCAGAAGTTTGATCATGGACGGTGTTTTGACAGATTGCTTTCCGCAAGCGAAATATTGATCCTGCAAGAAACATAAAGAAAGATATCTCAATACTAACCTTTTTAAAAGGAAATAAGTTCTCATCAAGACAATTACATGCAGAACCGACCTTACAGACAAATCCTCCCTCCTGGCTTCTTTCCTGATTTTGTTCAAGAAATGGACACCTTTACTTAGATTCACGATGGACACAGTTCCGAGACGCAATTCTTGAGGACTGAGCTCAACAAGTGATGGAAAATCTACTTACCGACGACAGATAAGCGAAAGCTCCAATGTCGCAGCTTCTTTGGCGCAGCGACTGACTGTTTTATCCAAACAGAAGAGTAGGATTCCGAGCTTCACTATACATAAAAAAAATAGCCGACGTAGCAGAATTTCTCCTCCAGTGATCAGAAAACTCCGTATTTCCTCGTTTTTTTTTTTTTTTTTTTTTTTTTTTTTTCATGAAACACAAATGAAGCACAAATGCACGGTTCTCCCTGGTCTGGCCACAAAATGATACAAAACAAACACTGTCCCCTGCCTCTATTCAAGTCGAAAGATGAGAAGTGTGAGACGTGTCAGGAGGAGGGCGGACACGAGCACCGAATCACAAGTGGTAAAGCAGGAGAGGAAGAGAAGGATCCATGACAGCGAGAAACCATCACCAGGCAGCGAAGTGCGAGAATGACCACGACGTAGTCGAGGCATATGTAGAACGCACGAGACGCATTCCCCCACCACACACACCCCCCCCCCCGGGTGCCATACCTCGATGACCCCGGGTATCACCCGTATACCCACCCGACGGAATCTTTCTGTCAGGCACTCCACGTGGGACATAGCAGTGGTTCCCCTCAGTAACTTGCAAATTTGCCTTCCGTTCCCCTAGATTCGCACGCAGGGGAACCTCGAAAGAGCCGGAATAGTAGACTCTCCTGGCCCCCGTTCCCCACAATCCATGCAAGTCTGTGCAGGACAAGTTTCACTTGGAATTCTAGTCACGGAATGTGCTCATAATTCGCTCGTTCCCATCCCACTTGGATGCCCGTTCTCTCCGCAACGTGGGCGTGCTTCTAATGAGAACTCAACGCCCCCGGTTCCCGACATTAAATTTCCATCCTCTCTATTGAACACTACCCTTTGGATTTTTCCTTTTTGCCTTCCCCCCCCTGGAATGAGTGCCTTGTGAGTGAGTGAGTGACTGACTGACTGACTAGACTTGCTTCTAGAGGTCTCCAATGGGCTGCAGGCATTGATATCCTCACCCACAAAAGCCTGCTACATCATTGAGGGAAAATTGCATACAAAAAGTGCTGAAGCAATAATTAAAATCCTAAATAAAAATTCCATCATTGTACCAGGAGCCTCTTGGGAGATGCCGCCAATGCATTTAAGAGAACGAAAACCCGGAGAGAACAGTAACACAACGTGAAATAGAAGTATAAAATTCTCAAAAAAGTTAAAAGTAACAAGCACATTTTCTTTTCCTTTCTACAGCCTTCATCCATACATATCCTTTTCTAATATTCGAAATTATTCAAATGACCAATATCACCTCAAGGTTCACTATATACAATGGGTGACATTTTAGAAATGCATGCAACAATCATTTCTTCCTTCATCAATTGGAGGTAAATGAACACTTGACAAGAAGAAACATGTGGAGAGGACGCCCACCCACACGAACCTTTTGATTCGGTGGGCAGCTAGGTGGGGCAGGGGGCAGGGGAGGGCAGAGGGCGGGGCAGCAGATGACGAAAATGCGGAGACGGTGCCCCTTGTAGGGTGAGGCTCCCCGAGGGGGGAGGAAGCCACCCCAGCCACACACCCACATGCCTGCCCCTTCAAGCTTGGTTGCCCCACCTGCCCCCTGCCCCCCCTGCCCCTCCCAATCCCTCGACCCCTGCTGTTGTCCTAATCAGCACGCATATGGCCAGCTCATCATCACCCACCAACTTGGTGATAGGATCGAAGCCAGCTGTGCACCACTCGGCCTGCCCTCGTGGCATTCCGTCTGTGTGCTGTATGCCATGTAGGAATTCCATGGACCTCGCGCACCAAAATCATGTCTAGTCAGCACGTCTCCCACCTCCACGTACTACATTATTCACGCCACTCCCAATGGATTTGGTTCAGATAATACAGGCAGGGCCCTGGGTCCACTCCCACCGCATTACAATATTATTTCAAATTTTAATATTATTATTAGTCGTATGATATTGTTTTGTCAGAAAAATCCTCAATTAACCTGCATTTGGGTTTGTACCTCAATTGCTCTTCGAACTGGATAACAGAGCAAACATCCCATGTGATTGCTTTAACCAAGTCATCTTTTATTTAGATGGGGATATTATTATAGAAAAAGAATAATAAAATTAAACTAAAATTAAAATTATTCTTTGAAAACTCTGAGTTTTAACATTATTATCCTCTTTTTTGAGCTTTGTACACCAATCTGACATCATGAATGAAATGAATATTTTTTAGTCAATTTGGCTATTTAAAAGCACTGACGAGGAGGACAAAAAATTACTACGAGATCAAGTATAAAAATATTGCAATGTAAATTTGATAAAATCCCTCAGCTATTTAAATTTTCATGCCCTGTTAGTTACTTGTAATTTAACTAACAAATTGGTCAACCTAAATAATGCTCAATGTTTACTGACTCTTTATTTCATTATCAAATGTGTTTATTAACTAGTTGCAAAAAAATTAGTATGAATACTCACCACTGAATTGTAACGTACATTCGGCAAACATAACAAGCTATTTACAAATAGCATCTACAAATAAAAAGGATTACAAAAAGAGCAATTGAAAAAATATCTGCAGCATTGGCATAATTTTACAAAAAAAATTAAAAAATACATTATACTGAGTGCAAGAAGAATATGCATTACCAGTGTAAGTTTATTGAAAAATACTGTCAAATTATTCTGTGACACTCTTCATTGTTATCACTGTTTAGACCAAGCAAGAGCATGAAAAAAAAAACCCCACCTGCCACCACCAAATAGCACCGCATGGACAGCAATGAGAAAAATCCTTAGCACTTAGTTCTTCCACACATGTCATTCTACTCACCTCCAGACTATACCAAATACTATATATATATATGTAACCATACTCTCCCACATTAGAACAAAAGAAAAAATTGGCAAGCTGGGTACTGGATTTGCACCAGCTGCACAAACCTTCAAAACTATTATCCTGAATTGTAGAAAATATATTTATTTAAATTGAATCCAATGTAATAAAGTGCACACACACACATACACACACACAAGGATCTTTCCTTCCCCATTACAGTGTAGCCTTATCTTGCCACATCCCCACAAGCACAGCCACGATGGCTGTTTGTGGAGGGGCTTTGCTAAAAGATGGACATGTATGTGGGTTCATGTTTTTTAAGGAAAGTGCTCATTGTGTAGGACCCTTCCATGGAAATAAAGGTGTTGTTGGCTATGAGCTTTTGTGGCTAGCAATTGGGCTCCGGGAGTGAGGGAAGAGGCTTTTTCTCATTGGGGTCTGTTGAGCATTCTGTATGTACAAAGGTGTACCAACTGTAAAAAGTGAAGAAAGAATGAATATTATAATAACAAATGGCTTGACCATTGTATATAACCCACACTATGTAATCACTCTTTTTCCCATTTGTGGCACTTTTGGGGGCTTTTGCAGTAAAACCTTAAACCTAGACTTCTCCCTTTGCTGTCACACTCATTTTCATTCACAACTCTTTAACATTACTGGAATTTGGAAATATTCTCAATGACTGTGGTGGCTATGTTGCATGGTTTGTGATTTTTGGGATTTTAAATCAGTGGAAATGAAATAATCTTGTGTGCTTCTTTGTCAAGCATGTTAATGGATATTTTTATTTATTTATTATTATTATTATTATTATTATTATTTTCTTCTTCTTCCACAAAGCATATTTTCTATGATATTATCATTATATTTTTGTACTAAATAATACAAAAATACTAACAATGATAAAGAGAATGTTGTGTATTAATAGATGGTTCATACTCTACATAAGTTGCACACTATTCAAATGAAGTCTTTTTTGAAGGATGCTCATGCCAAACATAATTGGATGTAACAATATATATATATATATATATATAATGTTTAGGTATTTAGAGATTTCAAGGAGATGTTGATTTGATTTGATTTAATTTATTTCATAAAAAAAGGAGGGTTGGTACGAGTTTTAGTAAATGTGGATGTTTCCACCTAAGTGCACTTCATTTTTAAGAGCAATAGACAATTCTATGTTTTGGATTCTTATATCCATTGCAGTATCTGTCAAGTCTCCTGTGGCACTTTAACATGCTGGTTTGTGTATGTAACATTTCATGTAAAGGTTTAAGAACAATTCATAGGGTTGCAAGAATCACTATCACAATTAAGAATTCATATGCAAAATTATTTGTATATATATATATATATATATACATACATATGAGGAAACAAATAAAAATAAAAATAAATAAAAAAAAAAAAACCTTTCATTTTCCTCTCATGCTTGAACCCCATTCGCATCTTTTACATATCCAGCATGAAATCCCAACCTATCAAATTGCAACCAAAGTCTTTGTATGCGACAACACATTTCCACACTGTCAATCTGACACGGACATATCTGGACATAGTCAGAGTTGTATTTCAACGAGGAGCTCTGCCAAAGTTAATAAAACACCACACTTGCTATAAACACAGTTTTCAGTACTTCTTGTCGAAGTATAATTTTTCATGGTGGAGCATCGCATAAGATCGACTCATTTAGAGGGTTCTACCATCACCCACGAAGCACAATTCTAAACTCCAATTGTAACCACACTCACGTTATGAAGGAACCCACAACATCTCTATGATGCACTCTTTATGCACAATAATCAAGTAGAAATCATTAAAGTAAAACCCTAACATAATCTGCAGTGTTACCTTTCATGCGGCATTTGTGATGTGCTGCAAGCTTTCCCCGACGCATGCCAGCGGATGTGGAAGAATGATTGTGCCATTGAGAATCGATCCAGCGTTTGAATCTCAGCGATGCGGAAGATTCGCTGGTGGTGAGCTTCGGCAATCTCCGCATGCGATCTTTTCGTTGAGGTTTTTTTTGGCACGATCGCTGTGAATGCAGCGGGGATCTTTTCTGCACGATGGCGCCTGGGAGGGAGCTTGCGAGCATGGCCGCGACCAGACCCATGTAGCTATAGCCTTTTGACGGATCTCAAGAATGAGCTGGAAGGCGAAGAGGATCATGCGCAGCGACCCGCACATTACAGGAGCTAACGGGCCGGACAATCGCAGCAGGACATGGTGGTGGAATCCGCTCCTGTGGCATCGGTGTTGTCTTCGATACTCCACGAAAAAGATGCGGCAAGGAAAGGTGTGTGAGTAGTCCATCCCCTCCGACTGTGGGGCCACGCATTGATGACGCCGCTCGTGTGAAGCACCTTACGATATTCCCCACGTGATGCGAGCCCTGCGTCATTGAGTCTTTTTGACTAGCCCCCTCTGTGGTCGCCTGGCGATGATGTTGTCTGTGCTTTGCGCTGGTGCCGACGAGTTCGGTGATTCCCCGGAGCAGATCCACGGTGCATCGCACAGGCGGAAGTGTCTAGATTTTGTTGCTAGCTGTGCAATGGATGCTCATTTGTGGGTTCGTGTGTTGACGTAGATGCCCGCTCAAGAGGGCGACACAAGTGTGAATGATCGGCAACCTTGTTGTTGTTGTTGTTGATGATGCGTCGTCGTCGTCGTTCGTTGTCTAGCTCCTTCGTCATGTCCTCGTCCTCGCCTTCACAAAATTCTTCCGAGGATGAATTACCGACCTCGAATTCCACTGCTCCTCCTAGTGCTGGACATTTTCTAAACTTCGATCGATGCTGATAACTGTCTCACCACGATACATCACCTTTCAACCCTCCATATACTTCTTGATTGGCACATTTTAGGGTTTGTTTGTCATGGCTCGTTTAAAGAGTTTGAAGGCCCTTGTAGCAAGAGAGTTGAGTAAGGATTAGGGTTGAGATTACATCAAGTTTTAAGAGTTTGTGGTGATTAGATAATTAAGTATAGAAATGAAATGTTTATCTTGGTTGCAAAAATCAAAAAATAACAAAAAAAAAATTAATAAGAATTCAAGTTAAATTCATGTCTTAATTGGCCTGTTATATTTATGTTTGTAAATCCTACTTGTGAAAAATCACAATAATAACCTCTTTTATTATAATATATTAATATTTAAGATTACACATTTAATAAAGTAGGAAAAAAATAGGATATTTTTTGGTGACAACCATCAAAAAGAATAATCCATCTTGCACATTATTAGGAGATTAACAAATACATTAAATATACTTAAATTAATAATATTGTACATTAAGAAAATAATGTGTGTGGTCAAACTTTAAAACATCATGTGGTCAATAGCTGTTACATGTAAAACACAAAAAATATAATAAAGTCGATAATAACTAAAGAAGATTCAAACAACTAGTGATAATTTCATAGATAAAAGTAGATATAAACACAGTGCTTAGATAAATTCAAGGTTCTATAAGAGCCTAATGACAACAATATCATTACAAAAGAATTTTTTTGTAGTTATAACAACAAACTTTTTTTGTAGTTATAATTTAAGAGTACTAAAAAAGAGTGAATAATTAGCACAAGAAATAATGACCATTATATTTATATATATATATATAATTTAAAAGACACCAACTCAATAAAATCTAATGTATGTATTTTATACATTTTAGAAATCTATCAACAAAATATTTGATAAAGATATAAAAATAAAAATAAAAAATTGATAATTGAAATTTGGTAGAAAGACCCTAGTTACTCTAATTTGATAAACGAAATAGGCTTACATTATGGTAAACAAAAAACAAGATATTCTAACAATATTTTAAAGAAAAATGAATAAAAAATCAGCTAAGACATCAAAAATAGAAGAAGTTTATCAATCAATTAAAGCACTTTGAGGTATATTTAAATACATATTTTTTAGAATTACTTTCTTTACTTAATTTAAAAGTTCTACTTATCTTAACTATTAATAAAAATCATTTAAAAATTAATCTATGTAAGAAAAAAAATACAAAAAAAGGGATAAAAATAAGACATAAAACAATAAAATAATAAATAAAAGAGACTATTAATTAATTTAGTGATATATATATATATATATATATATATATATATATAGTAAATTTTTAATTGTATACTACTCTAAAATTTAATGTCATATTTTTTTTTATTATCTTAACTAATTGTTGGAGATTCTACAAGCACCTTTAAGGTTCAGTATACCCATTAGAGGAAGCTAATTTCTATTGCATGACAAGTTTGTATTGATACTTTTGCTACAAGGAAATGTTATTTTCAACTGAGCACAAATCTTGAGCCATGTTCTAAAGAATGGTACCACCAAAAAATATTTTAATCTAACTACTCCCATTGTAGGAGGATTTTGTAAGCTTTTGTTGGGTGGCTATCTGTACAATTATTCTTTGCTTCAACACAAATGCAATTTATATAAATTAGATATCAAGCGATAACTTACTTTGCTTTGACTAAAAGCTCTCTATTTTGTAATTTCAATTTCTTTGCTAAGGATTTAAATCTATGGAGCAATTTAGAAGGACCATATATCATCACTATAAGGTGTTTGGAAGGTCAACACATCTATAATCATGTGTTGTAGTATTTAAAATTGATTCAAATTGCTAATATCAACTAAGTTAGATTCTTATCATCTTCAATCATTGAAGGACACATGGGTACGTCCAAGGTTCTCTAGCTCTTAGACAATTCCTTGGTTGTATTTGTGAATAAGCTAACCAAGCAAGATTAGAACCACACAACATTGATTATTGCTGCCAACCACAACTTGAATATGAGGCTTAATTTTGAAATAAGCTCAAGCAAAAGATGGATGGAAAGATTAAAGATTAGTCAAGGAATTTGGAGTATAAGTGTAGATGAATGGAAGGATGTCTATGTGATAAAAGAAGGATACTTTCCTAGTAAAAAAGATATATCAACTTAGCAATTTGTTTTAATAGAAATGTCTTTCATAAAAAATCAAATATGATTTTTTACATGAGATTTATATTTTTAAGTTAGCTAAAATACTAAATTAATTATAATGCTCAATTTTAATATTAAATAGCTAAACTTTTTTATTTTATTATAGTTATTTTTGAGGTTTATTTATTTATTTATTTATTTATTTCATAAGTATATATAAATTACATACTTATTGTAATTAAAAGCCTTATGAATTTTTTTTGTTATTTAAGTCCATTTGCATTAATTAAACTATGATTTTGTAATAAGATTAATCTTTATTAAAAATGCATCAATATTAAAGTTAAAAAGAATTGAATGTATTATTAAAAATATTATACTAATAGAGATGGACACAAGTAAAAACAAATCATAGTTATTTGTATCATATTAGATATATTGATAATTTATATATATATTTTATATTTTTTTATCTACTTAGAAGAATTTTATCACTCAAAATATATATGTATTATATTTATATCATCTATGCATATTGATATACCTACTATTTTATAAGATATTTTTTTAAAATAATGCAATTTAAATGTTTAATGTCTATAATTTTTTGTTTTAAGTTTTGAAATAATATGGTCACTTGGTAAATTATTAACTATTGATGCAAATTATTATCATTTCCAAATACTATTATTTTTGAAGATTTAGCATTTTTGGTGACATTAGATCTTTTTGCACAAAGTTTTATAAAATATATATTATTATTAACATAAGCACTTTAAGTTCTCTTTCTATTTTGTATTTGACACCACAATTTGGAGTTTAAAGATGGTAAGGACAAATGTTATGTGGTTTCTTATTCAATGAAAATGTTATATGTTCCAAGTATGTGAGTCTATAGATTTTTTTGCTTTAAGATTAAAAGACACATTTAGATATGCTCGTGAAATTATATAAAATCCTATGAAAGGTCATTAGTATATATTGTAATAAGATTGTTATCAATAAGAATTTTCTATTAATCTTTTTACATTATAACCTAATATATATTTTGATGTTGTATAAAAACTTATATTAATAAATTAGCATTGCATAGAGTTTTTTGATGGCTTTAGATTATTGTTATTAATAATAATAATAAATACCTTTAGATTATACTATATTAGATTATTTAAAATAGATTATCTTTTTAAATTCAATGTTTTGTGGTCTATCCATAATCATTTGTAAAGAAGAAATTAGGATCAATTCAAGCAATTTTTGGTATACAATGTTAGTTGATACATTCTGAAAATATTTAGCTAAACCCTCACATCAAAGACATAAAACTTTTAATATAAAAATAGTTATTTAAGATCAAAAAATCTTTACTTTTTAAATGATATCATAAACAATGTAATTCTTATTCAGAATTTTATGCAATATGTGAAGATATGACTACATTTTTTCTTTCAAATTATCTTTAAAAAATACTTTCTTAGAACATTTTTATTATGTTCATGGTAAATATAAAAAGAGGTATCTGATTTACAAAGTTAATTAAAGTAATTAATTTCTAAGATTAATGAATAAGTTTTGAAAATATTTTATTTACAAAGTACCTTCTTTTTATACCTTCTTTCTCATTTTTCTCCTTCTATTTCTTCTAAGATTTTTATCTTTATCAACTGATGCTAATCAATTGTAATACATGTTTAGACTGGATTTTGATTTCTTTTATTTAATCAACTCTTATTTTTCTTTTATTAAATCTAACTTATAAGAGAAATTATCAAAACCTTTTTAGAATTGTCTTATAGTTTTATTTTATTTTATTTTTATTTCTGAAATTACAATGATTTTTTTTAAATGATTTAGGTAAAGAAATTATAAATAAGTATTATTATGCATAAAAATCACTAATTGTGGTTATAGTCTTATACAAAAATAGAGTATTTCGTGCTCAAATTAAAGTAATCCATCCTTCTATTCTCAAAAGATATAATAAGGGACTGAATTTTATTAGATCAAGTTATGGAAGAAGGTAATATTAAAAAGAAAAAAGAAAAAAGAAAAAAAAAATAGAAAACATATAACAATTATTTGATTTTTGTGGCCCAAGGATATTTTAATATATTTTTGATGTTAAATTTTTAAAAAAATTATTGATATTAGTCACAATTTTTTCACACTCTTAAACAATACAAGTCATTCTTTACAAATAATGATATTGATCAACTAGAACCTATGTATGAAATTGATTTGGTTATTACTTTCATAAACTATATTCTAATCAAACATCAACTAGACCTCAGAAATCCTTTTATTTCAAACAAAATTCTTGATAAGAGTCTAATATCTATTTTCAATATAACAAAGTAGTTATGACCCCTCATCTACAGAGCATACGAATAAACAATGTAGATTCAAATAACATGCTTTATTAAGTGACAAATAATAACCAGACAGAGTAGTCCACACAATAAGCTTCGTACTATTAGAATATGTTGGAATATAGTGAATTCTAGTACTAAAGAAAACACAAAAAATAAAAACCCACGAAAAAAACGCTTCCAAATGAAAACATAAAAATTTGGTAATAATACATGCACTGAAATCAGATTGATTTGCTCTACGAAAGGTTTCCAAATTATCCAGAATACCGGTCCTCCCTGTGCTCAGATCTCACCAAACAACAGATTAATGACCTGTAATAGTTTTTTCTGCACTCTCTTATACTTCTCCTTCAATAGTAAAGAGAGAAATTCCTTCTGATTCGAAAAACATAAATATAAAAAACATCACAGGTAGGCATGCTAACCGCAAAAAAATGAACTGATAAGTGGGCGATGATTTCTGGAAGATGAGCTCGATTGGACTCACGATCTTCTTTTAAGGCTGCGAGAGAGACACACACACAAACACATATTAAATTCCTTTTAAAGTTAAGGCAATGAAATGGACACAAGGGATTGCAATATTCAAGCTGATATGAACTCATCTTCAGAACGTACCCAAGAATCAAAAGGAGATGCGAATTCCATCAGCAAAACAATACGAAGGGTCATCACTAGGGTTTGCAATCACATGAGAAGGGATCCGTTTAGCTGCAGTTTCATCCTTTCGGGCACCGCCTCCTTAAACCATCACATTGCGTTCCTGGTATTTCACAAACTTGGTCTTCTTCTTCGACTTCGACATTCTGTTCTTCAATGTTCATTTCTGTCCTACCACACGAAGTAATTTGCAGTCAATTCACAGAGAGCTAGTGCCGCAGACCACAGACTTCAAACCTGCTTGCAATGAAACTTTTAACATACAGGACGACTCCATCTCATTGAATCCAGTTTTTCCAACCTCTACCAAAAAAATCATTGTTGATTTTCGAATCAGTGCTTTCTTACGATCACGGGGGGAAACTACAAAAATCACTCTTGAAAATGCAGAATCAATCCAGGTATAGACAGAAAGACCTCAGCTCGACGTGGTACCGCAAAACCAACCCTCACCATTGCTGTCCGTGCAACAGCCGATTCTCAACATCAACACGAACTGCTGCGAAGATTAGATTGCGATCCTCTCAATCTCACAAGGAATTCCTCAATCGGGATTTGCCAGACAAGCATTGTGCGTTCTTTTAGGCCAGTACTGCCTCGATCAACAGCATCTTTCATTCATTGCTCGGAGGCTCCGGAAACTCACCTCACATCTTCAGAATCGTCATTGTTTGGATTTCTGATTGCGATGAGTCGGTCGATCACGCTGCTGAGAATTGGAAAATGGAGTGAGGATCTTCGATCAATTGCTGCAGAAAACGTGGGCCTCCGACAGCAGAATTAGGGCAAATGGGCACAACTTTCCATGCAAGATTGCGATTTCACAAATGGGGTTTGAATTGTGATGATAATTGGTTCAAATATTTACTTCTTTATAATACAGATTAAGAGCATTTTGAATTCTTTGGTTTAGTAAATAAGTAGATGGAAGAAATGGGAAAAGGAGAAAAAAGATTGCTGTGGTTCTAAATAGTGCATATATATATATATATATATATATATATATGTATTTGTTTATTTTTTTATAATGTTTCTAGTTTCCTTTCATCTGTGGGAAATGTTTAGTTGAGGTGTGCTTTTATTTTGGAAGTTGAAAGATTAAATCTAGTGAGAGATGATGCCAATAAAAAAAGAAGAAGATAGAAGAGAATTTTAGATGGGAATTCAAAAAGAATAATAATTATAATACTACTAGTCAACATAAGAGGCGAATGCTTTGCTTTAATAGGAACATAGAAAACCAAGTTACTGATGTGTAATAATAACCAAGAATTACACTAACACCTTTTATTATTAATACACAAAGTTAAATAAAATGATAAATTCAAATTAAACAAATGTTCAAAAAACATATATAATAAAATTAAACTTACATATACAAGTTAAGTAGACTTATTATATAGACTAACACATTCCACTACTTTTCAAACTATATATATATAAAACTTATTGATTAATACATTATTATTTAAAATATATTTTTGGATTTTTTTATTAAACAAAAAATTGTTTATTTTTATTATTCAAAATTATAAATTTTTATATCAAATTACATAAATGTATTTTATATAATTCTTTGAAATATATATATATATATATATATATATATATATATCTTGGTAAAATAGTATTGTAGGTTAATTTTAATTTTTTTCTTAAACAAATTTGGATTTGTACATTTTAAGGAGCATAATATTTAGAAAGATGTATTTTAGATGCTTTTTTTTATCCATGAAGTAATTGATAACAATCACAGTATGGATAGCCAACTTAGATAAAGAAAATCATATTAACAACACTTAAAAATAATATTTAATGACAGAATAATAACAAAGTATCTTCTTTATTAAAGGATATTTTAAAATATGTCATAAAAAATTAGTAAAAAAATTTAGTTAAAATTGTACATGTTTTATTTTGTTTGATAAGGATAAATAAACATAATAGTAACATATAACTTTGACGTATAAAGTAATGATGATGATGATAATGTTAAGATATATATATATATATATATATATATATAGATTGGTGATCTTTACTTTGCCATAAGAAAAAAGAAATATTGTAAAAACCAAAAGACTTCAAATTATTTACAAATTATGAACTTTGGTTTTAATTCATATGCAAACTTGCTTGCCAGTTGTTATGTATCTATTTTAAATTCTAAAAAACATTTATACCTAACTACGTAAGAAATAGAGAATTATTTTTGGTAGTAGTAAATTATTCCTCTCTATTCAGCACAAAATTTCACCTAGTTGAGTCATTTGATATATTTGTAATTTGACAAATGATTTATTAATTTGAATTAAAAAAGATTAGAATATTTGTTGAACTTAAGTTTAATATTTTAATCTTAAAATCACTATTAATATTCTTCGAAGGTTGTGACTTAGTCCATTAACTTAAATAAAGCATTAAATAATAATAAATCAAAACGTGTGTTGACAAGGCAACAACAAAGGATCTTTTTTACACAAAGAACAAAATAAGTAATTATGTATTTCTATTTTTCTAAAAAACCATGAATTAAATTGACACGTTACTACTTTAATATGCAAAACACATAGCCTCGGATCTATATTGTGCGTGAAAATAAAATTTGATCAATCATAGTATATAATTTCTGAGGGTTGGCACCCAGATTTTTTTATTTCATTTTATTTTATTTTTCCTGTTTATCATTAAGTGGGAAGAAATGGCACATTCAACTCTTTCAGTTTGACTTCAACTCCAGGAGCAATAAAATTATTTACTGGTTCAGGAGTTTTTTTTAATAAAATTATTATATTTTAAAACTTGAACCATATGGTCATCCAATTAAAAGGGTTGTTTGTTGGAAGTACAATAGTATCTTTTCTACATTGCTCCCGTCAATTATCCCTTCATGCAATCCTCCGTTCTCTGTTAACCAAACAGTACAGAACCATGTGATTGGAATCTTCGACCCACAAAGTAATTTAATAACGTCTTCAAATGATAAAAAAACATTTCCTTGTTGCCATCGTATATTCATATACTCAGTGATAAAAATACTACTAAACAACAACAACAAAGAAAGAGAGAGGAAATGGTAAAATTCGAATATTGAAAATGAATACACACACTCCAAGTTTTCTTATTCTGCTATTTTATTATTATTATTATTATCATTTTTAAAACAAATACTTGTACTTAATTGAAGTGATTAATATTGTGCGCTTTGAAAGGCAACAAATCGTGGGTCAACAGGCGTTGAGACATCGTCGAGGAGCAACGACGGAAAGTGGACGGAGAGGGGACGGAAATCGAACATCGTTCGAATACGGATGTACTACGGTGGACGAGATAAGGATGACTCGTGGATGGAAGACGTAGGATGAACAAAGACCCACTGGAAAAAGGACAGAGAAGGACAGAAAAAGGCAGACATCTTCTGCAAAGACGAGGGGGGGGGGAGAGGGGATTGCAGCCAATCCCTGCCCTCTGGGAGGCGCTTACGTCATCACAAGGAACCAGACGACACCACGTGGCGAAAGCGACAGCACCTGCTGAGACCGCCCACCTCACGGCTGCTGTCACCCCCTCGTCCTGGTTCCCGCCCTCTGGACGCCGCGCCGCTGCCCGACCCTGCCCTGCCCAGACCTGCCCGAAGAACGGCTTCATGGCGAAATGGGTGTTGGCTATGGTGGAAGAAGGCGCTGCAGCGTCGTCACGGAGATCTCACAGTCGGCGCGGGAGGCAGAGACCCAGACACACAGAGTGTGTGAGTGAGTGAGGTGAGGAGATGGATATGGAGATGGGGTAGTGAGTGGGATTATTACCTCAGTCACTAATTCCGTGCGTTGACTGAACGATGATGAAATGCTTCGGGGAGAAGCTTTTTCGCCACCGTGGTTGGTTGGTGCGTGGCGTTGCAGGGTCGCGACAAAGGCGTCGCCAAAGGGCTATTATTCTTCTTCTGTCCGAGTGGATGTGGATGTGATATTGCAGGGTGTGGCCGCCTTACGCGTGAGTGGGGAGTGGGATTGGGGGGGGGGGGGAGGGGGAGGGGGACTGGAGACTGGGGTGCGCAACGAATTCAGACTGAGGTGAGGGCAGGGAACCTCACACGCGCGCATCTTTTTTCTGGGTTGATTCGTTATTTATTAATTTAATGTAATTCGATTTGTTCTGTTTCGCTGATTTCGCTGGCGCGCTTTTAGTGCGGAATGGCGTCGACGTTGGGTCGGGTGCTGGTGGGGCCTGTCGGTTGCGTTGAGTCCCGATTTCCGGTTTTTCGGGTTCCGTTTTGTTCGGAGAGGGTGGGGCGAGGGTTTCTTTAAGGTGATGTGCACTTGGGGTGGCGCTTTTGTGACATCGAATCTGTGGCGGTGTGACGTCTGTGTTAGGTGTGCGCATCTAGCCTGCGTGGTGGGTGTAGAAGAGCGTGATATAGGTGGGTTAGGGAGAGGAAAGAGAAATGGTGACTTAGGACATGACGAGCTTGGTTGTGTGTTGGAAAGCTTTGGGTGGTGATGGTCGAGGGCTGTTGAGCTTGGCTGAGGTGGCCGCTCCGTTTAGGGGAATGAAGAGAGTGGGAACCGTTTGGAAGGCTCTGTTGGTGTTGGAAAGATTATTCTAGCTAATGATAATGTCAGCACCAAAAACATTCGAATGTACCTGAAACTTGTTGCGGGTGTGGATTTACTTCCATTATTTGTATGTAGGATTTTGTGTTTGTTCAGGAGGATGTTGAATCTTGCTGCTCTTCCTTGGCAGGTGTTTATTTACATCAGCTGTCTAGTTATTAACGAGGACATAGGTAAAGATTGTGAGACCCACAAGAGTTCTCTACTTGCGTAGCTTTAGAGGTTTGAAAATATAGAATAATGGGCGACAATAGTCCAAGGACGGATACATCGACTGACATCGAAGGCGATGCTAAGGTATGCGCCTCTGAGAACAGAGAAGATGCACGCTTCTTAGAGTTACAAACATCTTACGCTGAAATTTGGTGTGACTGATTTAGCACATGCCAATCCATGCTTTTGGTATTCTGCTGTGTGAACAATTTCGAGATTGTCGGTGATATTTTTGTGAGGGCATCTTAACAGATTTGTGGACTTCTTGCAGTTCGAAGATGGACACCACACAATCACGGGAGGCTCTAATACTTCTGATCACGAAGCGGGCAATAAGAATGGCGATTCTAAGGTGCGTATCTTAGGTTGCTTTATTTTCAGAGCAATGGAATGTGTAACGTCGGTTGATAATGTTTTGAGTCGTGGGTTTCTTTTTCGATGGAAAAAAATCACATAAAGAAGCCGTCATAATTTTGGTATTTGACTCCTTTCCGAAGCTCATCTACTTGCGGTGGAACCTTTGTGTGGTACAGGCTCTCAGGCGTCTAGCGCAAAATCGCGAAGCAGCCCGAAAAAGCAGGCTCCGGAAAAAGGTAAGTGATGTCGTTGATGCAGAAATGTACTACTGATTAGCTTGGTGGGTACATATCTATCGTAGTTATATGTTTGAAGCGTACTGGAAATTACAAATGCTGGTATTCGTTTCAGGCCTATGTACAGCAGCTGGAATCCAGTCGTATAAAGTTGAATCAGCTCGAGCTGGAACTCCAAAGAGCTCGACAGCAGGTTTTTTCCCTTCACATCACTCATGTCTGGCCAGTTACACCAGGTTTCTGTATGTCTTAGCGGCTAACGTTCAAATGTCTATCCTTGAAGGACACTGCTTTTCTATTTTGATGCAATTGTAAACCTGTTGCGCATTACAAGACGGAAGGACAATTCGTAATCGGAGTTTTGATTGGTGAAGCAAAACTTGCAGCTTTAGTAGTTTTTGTGACAATTAGTACTTTCTAGCTTCTCAACTTACGGAGTACATAGTTCGAAGGCGTGAATGCCTTCATGTCGCTTTGAATGTGCAGATTGACTTTTATTTTTATTTCCAAGCGATGAAAAGAGAATGAATTGCTGTCCTCTTCTCTTGAAATTCATTTTTATTGCTTTTAAGATATTTCGATCTTTTAATAAGTCCATAAATTCTTTTCTTGACTCTATTTAAGCACATCAATCCGTTCGCGTACATTTCCACTTCAGGGTTCAAAGGGATAAAGAACGGCATTTCTTCTTGGTCAAAATTTTGTTTCATGGTCTTTTAGTTCTGCAAAAATCTAAACCCAATACACAGAATTCGCCTCTGTATTTTGCAAAGGAGTAATATTTTGTTCCTCTGAATCTGAGTAAGTTAAATTTATGGCTTCCTTAGCAGGGTTTATATTTGGGACCTTCTTCCTACAGCGGCGATCACAATGCTCATTCTGGTGGAGGTTCTGGGGGCACAAACGCAAACCTTTTAGGTCTTTCAAAGCACATGCTTTCTGAAGGTGTTCGACGATGCTTAGGAGAGTCATAAAGTAGGCTTAGTTTTAATGAAAATTCAGAAGTATCATGCAGAGTCTAATTTAAGAAATGCGTTATTTTTCTCATGTTCGCAATACATGAACCAACTTCACTTCTTACTTTCATGTGGTTAGGTTCTTATTCACCTTTTATTTGAGGTTATCTATTTGGTTTCTGATCTGTAATGACCTGGGTCTACAGGAGCTGCGGCGTTCGATATGGAGTACGGAAGGTGGGTTGAAGAGCAGCATCGGCAGATGAGTGAGCTCCGTGCTGCTTTGCAAGCGCAAGTCGCTGATACTGATCTACGAGTACTTGTGGACAGGGGTATGATCCACTATGACGACATTTTCCGACTCAAGGCTGTCGCTGCAAAGGTTGACGTGTTCCATCTTTTCTCCGGCGTGTGGAAGACTCCTGTTGAGCGATGCTTCATGTGGATAGGTGGCTTTCGTCCTTCTGAGTTACTGAAGGTGCTTTTAATCTACCGATTCTGGTGAAAGATGTTGGAATGGAGGCAGCTGAAATCCAGTGCTGATTGTATGATGTAATTTGAAGCAGGTTTCTCGCTGACGAATTGTTTAGTCTCAAGTTTGTTCATGCCGATTAACTCGGTTTGAGGTGTTTTGTTTGCTGATGCAGACATTAACACCACAAATAGAGCCTTTGACTAAGCAGCAGTTATTAAACATCTGCAATTTGCAGCAATCTTCCCTCCAAGCCGAAGAAGCCCTTTCTCAAGGGCTGGAAGCACTTCAGCTGTCACTTTCTGATACACTCTCTGGTGGTTCACTGGGCTCGTCGTCAAATGTATCTAATTACATGGATCAGATGGCTGGTGCTATGACTAAACTTGGGACATACGAAGCTTTTGTGCACCGGGTACGCCTTCTTTTAATGTTGCTGTCAGAACTCTCTTTTGTACTGCCCTCTGTTGAAAGCGCCGTAATATCTTGCCTCATCCATATGCTTGCCTATCAGTAAAAATTAAAAATGGTGGCTGTAACAGGCTGATAACTTACGACAACAGACGCTACAGCAAATGCACCGAATATTAACCACTCGCCAAGCAGCCCGAGGGCTCCTTGCAATGGGCGACTACTTTGCTCGTCTTCGTGCTCTGAGCTCTTTGTGGTTGGCTCGGCCTCGTGAATTAGACTAATATTATTGCACCAGACAGCGAAGAAGTCCTTGACGCACACATGACAGCCACAGCTGTGAACAATCCTGATAAGCTACCCAGATTTTATCGCACATAATGTCTGCGTGGTTTCATCTCAGACAAGCTCCAATGATGAAGGGTTGTGAGGGTGGACGTGCATTGCAACAAGGGCCAGGGGTGACATGTATTCGGTTGCATTATTCTACATCAGGGCAATTTAAAGGAAGAAAGAGGAAGGGAGAGCCATAAGATGCATGGGTAGTCCTTATCTGACTGGTGCAAGCACATAACAGATTCCATCAAATGATTGGCTCGCCGTTTGCATGGATTCTTTCCAGAAGTCAAGAATGCCACTTCTGGATCATTATGCCATCTATGTATGCGCTGCATGTGTTAGGCAGTATTCTTCTTCCGCATCTGACTGGCGATTACTGGCGCACTGAGATGATGTTCATGCTCTTTTAGCTTAGACGCAGTTGCACACAAACAACTCTGCGCTCTTAAGTTCTCTATGCATTTGAAACATGCGTATGCTGCACACATTTCTGCAGTCCTGGAATTGAACTGAAGTTTGAGCCAACCAAATGCTTTTTGAAAGCAGGCTTGAAGTACTTAGCGGTTTTTAACAGAAGAATGTACCAACTAACTTCACACCACCACTTAATTATATTGGATTACGACTTTTTCATTTCACGCCCTACATCTTGTGCGCCTTGCAATCCAATCTTCACAACAATCAAACTTACTCATAATACCGCAATAAAGACGGTCCGATCAGCCAAAGGTGCCTAAGGCGCCGCAAGTAGCGCCTAGATTTGGTGCTTGATCAGGAGGCTTCCTTACTGTAATACCACACATAAAACCTCTGACAATCGACTTGATAGATCCTTGTTCTTCATTGTCCCTCTCACGACAAGAGGTATGACCGTGCACAGCAGCCCAAAAATTGGCACAATATGAATAGAAGAGCCTAATTAAAAATTTATAGTAGAAAAACATAAATAAATGATAGGCAAGTAGTAAAATCTATTAGTGTTAGAACTACCTTTTATGAAATGTTTTCTATTTACTTTGTAGAGCCATAACTAAGGTAGATTAGAAAATAAGGTAGATTAGAAAAATAAAGAATATAGGCATATGTAGCAAGGAGTTAGGAATTGATTTTAGCAAAAATTACCTCAAGAAGACAAGAATTGATACTCGGAGAGAACCGATTACCAACCAAGATTGAAAACAGATCCTAAGGTGCAAAACCAAGCACTTATGGCAACTCCAAGGATTCTTTTGTAAATCAAAGAAAGAAACTTGAGAGGAGACTTGAGGAGAGATTTTTGAGTATTGGTTTCATATCATTTGGATTAATATTGAGATTTTGAGGGATTTTCAAAGGTAATAATGTACTTCATGGATTTAGATTTTGAGAAATAAAAATAATTTTACAAATTTCAAGATTTTGTGAATTTTGTAGTTTGTATATGGATAAAAATTGAATAGTTTATTATTGTGTTTGTTGTGAATGTACATGAGAAATTTGAGGTCTATTGAATAATTAAATTGAAGTATATGAAGATTTTTGTGGATTTTGGTATCAAAAATTTGAGATTTAGGATTACTGAGTGATTTTGAGACCTAATAATATTTGCTAGTTGGATTGAAGAAAAATTTGATGAAAGTAATTAAGACTTGAATATCTACATACAACCCAATTTTTAGAGCAATTGAAGAGTTTAGTAATTAGTACTGAAAGATCAACATTCAAATCAAAGAAAGAGGGCAACTTATGACCGAGAGGTTTTGGGAGCTTTTCTTGTGATTAAAAATCAGATTCTTTTTAAATTTTGTATTCTAGTTATTTTTTTATTTATTAAAGTCTAGGTAAAATTTTAGTTAAGATCTAAAGTTTAATTAATATTTATTGAAGTTCCAAATAACTACCACAATTGATTGAAATTTACTTGGAATTTTCTTGGAGTTGTTTAAAGTTTAAGGTTTCATTAGGATTTGATTTAGGATTAGGATTAAAATTTAATTAGGATTTGATTTAGAATTTGATTAAAATTTAGATTTTGCCTAGGATTTGGTTAAGATTCAAGATATGACTAGAATTTGATTAGAAATTATTTAGGATTTAATTAAAATTTGATTAAGTTTTGATTATGATTTATCTAGAATTTGATTAAGACTTGATTTAAAATTAAGATTTAAGATTTGATTAGGATTTGGATAGGATTTATTTAGGATTTCATTAAGGTTTCTTGAAGCCTATATTGAAATTTGATCAAGATTCAATTATAATTTCTATTTTTGATATTTTAAAAATATTTCTTTATATTTATTTTTATAAGTTCTTGAATTTTTTTGGATTCAATTAAAGATTGATTAGTATTATTATAATTTAATTGGAATTTATTTAGAATACTATTAAAATTATTAGAGTCATCTTGTTGCAAGTTCTATTTTTCTTTCCACAACTAGGTATCTAGTGCATTCTTAAATAGACTTTACATAATATAACACCATTGCTTTGAAAATTTATAAGGCCTTATGGCCAATTTGGACTGCTACGACCAAATCTTTGATATAAATCCATGTTGTTGTATGGAATTCTTAGAAGAAAATCAACAAAAAGTTGGAAGAAAAACCACCAAGAGTATTGCTCTACAATCCTTAAAGCCATGCATTAGTACACAATTCCTAAAGAAGTAGAAACTTGGAATCTAAGGCAATCCAAATCCTTGTAGATGAAGAAGGCCCCTCAAATTTGGAACTAGCTCCATCCTTTCATTTTATTTATTTATTTATTTTCCTTTTATTATTTTTTTCTTATTAGATGCTTTGAATCAAAGCTTCTATTTCTACTTTTAATCTAATTTAAATATTTTAAGAACAATAAACACTACTATTGTAAAATTAAGGATTTATATTAGTTAATTAAGGATAGACTACCTATTTTGGAATTCTTTTTCCTAAAAATTCTACAAGAGATCCATTCTAGCTACTAACATTCCATTATTTGCTATTTATTTCAAAATTCCTACATTAACTTCTTAAACTAATGACTTTAAGCACCATAAGTACATTTTTTGTGCTAAAATACATCAATGAGATAATTTTGTGACATATAGTAGTTGGGATTTGCTATAAGATTATAAGATATTTTAAATAGCAGTCTAAATTGTGATGTCTTTTAATATAATTTTTTAAAAGTTTTAAATTACACTGAGAATAATTTGTGATGTAGTTACATTATTTTTGAAGATAATTCTTTATAAAGTATTTTTATAGATAATAATTTGTAAAGTATTTTTATAGATAATACTTTATAAAGTATTTTTTATAGATAATACTTTATAAAGTATTTTTTATAGATAATACTTTATAAAGTATTTTTTATAGATAATACTTTATAAAGTATTTTTTATAGATAATACTTTATAAAGTATTTTTTATAGATAATACTTTATAAAGTATTTTTTTATAGATAATACTTTATAAAGTATTTTTTATAGATAATACTTTATAAAGTATTTTTATAGATAATACTTTATAAAGTATTTTTATAGATAATACTTTATAAAGTAGATATTATCATAATACTTTATAAAGTAGATATTATCATCTTAATGGCAATTGAATAAATTTAAATTTATAATATCATGTTTAAAATTCTATTATATTTTTAATTTTTCATATTATATATATAAATTTTAAATTCTTAATTTTGTTTTAATTTTTAATTTTAAATATTTTTTTAGTTTTAATTTTTTTTATAAATAACCGTCATTTTTATTTTAGATGGAATCTAAAATATTTTTAAAAAATAACTTTAATTTCTTTAAATTTATTTTAGATTTAAAAATTATTAATAAGTTATTCTTATTAATATTTAATAATTATAAAAAATAATTATTTTTATTTTTAAAATTAATAAAATTTTACGATATATATATATATATATATATATATATATATATATTCATATTCATATAATTTAATTAAATATTTTTTTTATTAATCTATAGCTTATGAAAAAAATGAATCGGCTACACTCAAAGAATATATTTATAAGAACTTGGCTAAAAACTTTATATGGCATTCAAAATTTTCAACATAAGCTCCTATCTTATTTATATAGAAAAAAGATAAATCACTACGGATGCATATCGATTATAGAGGACTCAACAAGATCACTATTAAAAATATATATCTTCTATCTTTGATATTAAGATCTTTTAATTAATTGAATGAAATAAAAATCTATACAAAAATAGATCTACAAGGAGCATACAATTTAGTATTCATAAAATAAAGATGAATAAAAGATAATATTTTGAATTAAGTATTGATATTTTGAATATAATATCATGCCTTTTGGACTCACAATTGTATCAATTGCTTTTCAACATCTTATAATTGATGTTTTTTGAGATTTTTTAGATGCTTTTGTTATTTGTTATTTAAACAATATTTTAAGCTACTTTAAGAATACAAAAAAAGATGAGTTTTATGTTTGTCTTATGTTACAAAAACTTAAAATACAAGATTATATGCCAAGATAAAAAAAGTATATATTTCATAAAACTCAAGTTGATTTCTTAGGATACATCATCTCAAATGATGGCCTTATGATGGATCCTAAAAAATTTCAAACTATCATGAATTGAGAGATTTTAAAAATAATATAAGATGTATATTATTTTTTAAAATTTGTCAATTACTATCAAATCTTTATTAATTTTTTTTTTCAAGTTATAGCTCCACTTATATATTTTACTTGTAAAAAAAACTTAAAAGGAATAAAATAAAAAAATCATCATTTAAAGCTTTAAAAGAAATTTTTATTTTTGTATAAATTTATATTATGTCACCTTTTTCAAAGTATATTTTATGAAAATAAATACATCAGATTTTATATTATTATATAATAATATGATTATATGGTAAAAAATAAAAATATGGATGTTATTATAAAAAAACCTAATCAAAAGATGTAGTAGAAAAATAAGGATAAATAATAAGAAGGTAGTAAAAATTTAGTCTTAATGCTTTTTTTTGTAGAAATAACTTCTATTTACTTTACAAAGGCATAAATGCTTCAAATCAAAGCAAATAGATAATTAAATAATATAAGAATCTTAAAAAAAATTTAGCAATAAGTTTAACCAAAAATTACTTCAAATTATCAAAAATTGATATTGTCAAGGACAAGAACTCGATGAAAAAGCAATTCAGACAAGTGAGCCTTCACTCAAAGAAAGATAAAAAAATATAAATAAATAAGTATGTATATTGAAAGAGAAACTAGAATGGCTATTGCCAAAAGACAAGAAAACTAGAGACCCTTGAAACTAGATTGGAAGCAAGAAAGAAGTTGACAAGAGTGAAGAAGGCTTCACTCTTGTTTCTATATATACTATCTAACTAGGAACTACATGGCGACATTCTATAGGACCTCCAATATGTGTTGACTTTATAGGACACATGCCTTGACTTACAAGGCAAGTTTTTCTACGTGTGGGCCACATAGTTAGCTTGATCTTCAAGCTAATAACATGTGTGGTACATGGCCAACTTGTTGACCACGTTTTTAATCCAAAAAATCAATTAAAGACACCTATGAAGTCAAAGCAGCGTCTATGAAGCTTCTAGAAAGCTTTCATATTAAATACTATAGAATTAACTTACTTT